AGTCGACCCTGGAATACGGTTGCCAGACTCATTCACCTTTCCAAATACGCTCCGTTCTTCTCACCAACCCCCACTCTGCCAAATCCCCTCCACTGCCTTCCGATTGCGCAACGGATCAAAATTCAAAGTCCTAACTCTGAACGTACAAAGCCGTCCACCATACTGCCCCGAACTACATCACTGACCTAATATCCAAGCACCGCCAGCACGCACCCACTCGCTCCTCACAAGACCTCTCCTTCTCTCTAGTTCCCTGGTCTCCTCCCTCTAATGCCCGCCTTCAGGACTTCTCCAGGGGTGTCACCCATGCCTCTGGAACTCCCTGCCCCCAACCCATCAGATTATCACCTACTCTCCTCTCCTTTAGGCGCACCCTGAAAACCATCTCTCAGGGAAGCCTTACTCCACCCCCTGCTAACTTGCCGACTCTCGCTCCACTCTTCCTACCACTCCATCCCCCACAGCTATCTCCTCCTGTGCCACCATCCCCTCGCCTCCTAGATTGTAAGGCTCCAAAGAGCCGGGCCCTCAATCCCCTCATGTTTTGCATTGTATTGGTATTATTCTGTCACATGTTCTGTCCCCTTTGTAATGTACAAGCGCTAAGCGAACTATTGGCGCTTTATAAATACTGTATAATAATAATGAGTTCCATCCATGTAGAGATTAGTTCCATTCATTCCTGGGGGGGGGGGGGATTCCATTTCCTGTCCGGTAATATTCTTTCTCTTCTTTTACAGATTGGATAATAATCAGCTGACAGATAGTTCCTGCCCCCACCTGGCATCTGGAATAAGAAATAACCCGACATGAGGACACTGGACCTGTCCTGGAGCAATCTGGAGGGTCCTCATTTCAGGGATCTGATGGCGGCTCTGACAACAAGCCGGATAGAGGAATTACTGTGAGTATAACAGGACTGACTGAGACAATCATATTCTGGGACAGAGTAACATTCAATTGTCTAAATCTTCGGATCTTCTCTAACTCTGTTATCAGCAATAAATTACTTTCTACAGCTGGCCATAAGTGGATCAAATATCGACAGGTTTAGTAAGGACCAGCCAAGATCTGACCCATCAATTGTGGGCAGGTTGGTTGTACTGAAGTTGATCCGTCAATCACATTCAGTACAACTATCCTCTGGGACTTTTTGCATTCGATCACATGCTGGAGGTCTATAGCAGCTAACAGTGATCAGTGTTCTGCTGGCAGGGAAGGCTTCCTGTTGGCAGAACACAGTTGTGTGGCAGGAGTGATTCCCCCATCCATTTCTGACTGTGTTGATGGGGGGGATTGAGCAATTGTCTTTCTTTCCACCCGTAGTGGAAGGAAAGATATATTGTATAGTCTGTAGCTTACTTAAAGCTCCCCACACACAGTACAGTCTGATCTTACAATCTTCTTTACCTCCATTGCCTAATTGGATACAAACTGACTGGATACATTGGGTAGGTCCTCATATGATATAAAGTTGTACAAACAGCATAATATCAGATGGTAACATGGTGACCCTATAGAGACTATAAAATGTAACCATTAAAGTGTTACTAAACCCACAACAGTACAATCAGTCTGTAGATGCAGTAAAGCATGCTTGTGATACTCAGTGTGGAACCTAAGGGGTTAATCCTCTGCATTGTGTAAAAAAGACCGATTGATCCTTTCTGCTCTGTTCCTCCATTTTGCAAGCAACCACCTCTTATCTTCTGATAAAACAGACTGAACCATAGGCATTTTTGCACATGCTCAGTTTAGTGTGTATTGTTAGAGAGGTTTCTTTTTTCCTTGAAAGGGTGCATGTAATCAGCACAGGGCCAATCAGCGCTGTCCAGACAGAGATCAAGGGTTCTGCATCCTTCTAAAGCAAAAAGAAATCTCTTCCTACAAGCTTTAACCAGAGATCTGCTGGACACTGATAGAAGTCAAAAGACTGCTATGTACTGCTGATGAGAAAAGGGATTTAGCAGTTTATATTTACTAAAGTAATTGCATTTCCACGTTGATGGGTTTTGGGGAGAGCGGATATAGTGAATGCGGGGTCCGAGGAGAGCCGATATAGTGAATGCGGGGTCCGGGGAGAGCCGATATAGTGCGTGCGGGGTCCGGGGAGAGCCGATATAGTGAGTGCGGGGTCCGGGGAGAGCCGATATAGTGAGTGCAGGGTCTGGGGAGAGCCGATATATAGTGAGTGCGGGGTCCGGGGAGAGCGGATATAGTGAATGCGGGGTCCGGAGAGAGCGGATATAGTGAATGCGGGGTCTGGGGAGAGTGGATATAAACTCGATATAAAGTCAATCCTAAACTCAGCGGCTAGACTCAACCACCTCACCAACCGCTCCACATCTGCCTCCCCCCTCTGCCAATCCCTTCATTGGCTCCTGATTGCCCAACGCATCAAATTCAAACTAACCCTGACCTACAAAGCCATTCACAACACCGTCCCAAACTACATAACTGACCTGATACCCAAATACTACCCTACCCCGTGCCCTCCGCTCCTCACAGGACCTCCTACTCTCTAGCTCACTGGTCTCCTCCTCCCACGCCCGATTGCAGGACTTCTCTAGGACTTCCCCCATCCTCTGGAACTCCCTACCCCAATCCATCAGACTGTCACCTACCCTCCTCACCTTCAGGCGCACCCTGAAAAACCCTCCTCTTCAGGGAAGCCTACCCCAACCTCACCTAACACCTGACCTCACCTAACAACCTCCTCCACTCCTCCCACCACTCCATCCCCCACAGCCATCTCCTCCTGTGCCACCTTCCCCTCCGTCCTAGATTGTAAGCTCGAAAGAGCAGGGCCCTCGAACCCCTCGTGTACTATTTTGTTTTTGTCTTGTCTCATGTTCTGTCCCTCTTGCTAATGTACAGCGCTGAGCATACCCTTTGGCGCTATATAAATACTGTAAAATAATAATTATACAGTATTTATATAGCGCTACAAGGTTTGCTCAGCGCTGTACATTATAGTGGGGACAGAACATGAGACAATACAGTAACAAAACAAAACACGAGGGGTTCAAGGGCCCTGCTCTTTCGAGCTTACAATCTAGGAGGGAGGGGATAGTGGTATAGGAGGAAGTGGCTGTGGGAGATGGAGTGGAGGATATTGGCTGTTAGGTGAGGGCGGGGTAGGCTTCCCTGAAGAGATGGGTTTTTCAGGGTGCGCCTAAAGGTGAGGAGAGTAGGTGACAGTCTGATGGATTGGGGTAGTGAGTTCAAGAGGATGGGGGAAGTCCTGCAGACGTCGGGCGTGGGAGGTGGAGACCAGGGAGCTAGAAAGTAGGAGGTCTTGTGAGAAGCGAAGAATACGGGTAGGGTGGTATTTGGGTATCAGGTCGGTGAGTCAGTTTGAGGCAGCATTATGAATGGCTTTGTATGTCTGTGTTAGTAGTTTGAATTTAATGCATTGGGCAATCAGGTGCCAATGGAGGGAATGAGGGGAGGGGGGTGGCAGAGGTGGAGTGGTTGGTAAGGTGGATGAGTCTGGCTGCTGAGTTCAGTATAGACTGATATAGTGAATGTGGGCTCCGGAGACAGCGGATATAGTGAATGCGGGGTCCGGGGAGAGCGGATATAGTGAATGCGGGGTCCGGGGAGAGCGGATATAGTGAATGCCGGGTCTGGGGTTTAGTAACACTCTACTTTTATTTTGGTATCTGTATAAATAGATGACATTAAAGATGTTCATACATGGGAGAATCTGATCTTAATGCAATGAGTGATCAGAGCATCAAACAAATTCTTTTCATCTGGCGTGCTATTCAGTTCCGGAAGATCTCCCATTACTGAACATTTGTTACCTAGCGCCATGACTTCCTATGAGTACAGAGCTCTGATCAGCAGAGAGAAATAGAATATCAGATACAATCCTCCCGTCCAATCACTAGCAATGCTGATTCCGGCCTCACACTGTTTGCTGATCCCATTCATGCTCCATACACAAGGAGATGATAGCACAATACGAGTCATGTCAGTGGTATTCTGTGCTCATCCTGTGTATGGAGATATCACCGTCTCTACACATGGAGGACAATATTGGGGGGTCTACTCCATTATAAACATTTGTCTTATAAAATTCCATTTCCTGGAGATTTATAAAGTGATGGAATATAAATGATTCCAATAAAGAGAAATGAGTTCCATCCATGTAGAGAATAGTTCCATTCATTCCTGGGGGGGGGGGGGGGGGGGGATTCATTGTCTTCTGGTAACATTCTTCTCTTCTTCTACAGATTGTCCTCTAATCACCTGACAGACAGTTCCTGCCCCCACCTGGCATCTGGAATAAGAAATAACCCAAACACTGAGGAAAACTGGACCTGTCTGGGAACAAGCTGGGGGGTCCTCATTTCGGGGATCTGATGGCGGCTCTGACAACAAGCCGGATAGAGGAATTACGGTGAGTATAACAGGACTGACTGAGACAATCATATTCTGGGACAGATTAACATTCAATTGTCTAAATCTTCGGATCTTCTCTAACTCTGTTATCAGCAATAAATTAGACTTTTTCTACATCTGGCCATAAGTGGATCAAATATGGACAGGATTAGTAAGGACCAGCCGAGATCTGATCCATCTATGGGCAGGCTGGTTGTACTGAAGTTGATCCGTCAACCACATTCAGTACAACCATCCTCTGGGACTTTTTGCATTCGATCACTGCTGGGGGTCTATAGCAGCTAACAGTGATCAGTGTTCTGCTGGCAGGGAAGGCTTCCTGTTGGCAGAACACAGTTTGTGCGGCAGGAGTGATTCCCCCCCATTCTGACTGTGTTGATGGGGGGGATTGAGCAATTGTCTTTCTTTCCACCCGTAGTGGAAGGAAAGAATATTGTATAGTCTGTAGCTTACTTAAAGCTCCCCACACACAGTACAGTCTGATCTTACAATCTTCTTTACCTCCATTGCCTAATTGGATACAAACAGACTGGATACATTGGGTAGGTCCTCATATGATATAAAGTTGTACAAACAGCATAATATCAGATGGTAACATGGTGACCCCATAGACTATAAAATGTAATCATTAAAGTGTTACTAAAACCACAACAGTACAATCAGTCTGTAGATGCAGTAAAGCATGCTTGTTATACTCACTGTGGAACCTAAGGGGTTAATCCTCTGCATTGTGTAAAAGGTTGATTGATCCTTTCTGCTCTGTTCCTCCTTTTTTTTTCAAGCTACCACCTCTTATCTTCTGATAAGACAGACTGAACTGTAGGCATTTTGCACATGCTCAGTTTAGTGTGTATTGCTAGAGAGGTTTCTTTTTTTCCTTGGGAGGGTTCATGTGATCAGCACAGGGCCAATTAGTGTTTTCAGACAGAGATCAAGGGTTCTGCATCCTCCTAGAGCAGAAAGAAAACTCCTCCTACAAGCTTTAACCAGTGCTCTGCTGAACACTGATAGAAGTCAAAAGACTGCTATATACTGCTGATGAGAAAAGGTATTCAGCAGTTTATATTTACTAAAGTAATTACATTTTCCATGTTGTGTGTACTGTGGGAGACCAGATATAGTGAATGCAGGGTCGGGGAGAGCGGATATAGTGAATACGGGGTCGGGGAGAGCGGATATAGTGAAGGCAGGGATTTGGGGAGAGTCTTTCTGGATTTATGAGTTGGGGAGTTTAGCACCAGGTGGGTTTAAATAAAGAATTCGATTTATCATGCTTCATTAGTGATGTGTAATGTTATAGTAATGCTCTTGACGTCAATTACATAGGGTTTCTGGTATAGCATTTAATAAAGTGTATGGATCTGCGTGATGAATAGGGAGGGATACCATAAGTTGGTTATGTCTCTCGTTTGCCACGCAGATATATATACATGTTGGGTTTTCTCATTTATATTTAATATATGATATATGGTGGGAGGTATAATCCGTGCCCACTCAAGCATGTGAGATAATAGATTTAGGGGGTCTATTGTGTATCATATATACATTTTATTTTTAATATGTTACTTTTAAGTATTCTCCATTTCATGATTCTTTTGAATGGTAGATTCTAGTTATGGTGTATGGGAAATATATATTTAGAGTATTTGTTATAAGTACTCTGATTATTTCCCCATTTTTATTTATTTTTTATATTTTTTTTTACATAGTATTCTGTGAATATATTTTTATTGATATAAAATATTTTTATTGAAATAAATATTTTGTATAAGCTTTAAAATTGTTTATACATGGTTGTGTTATGTTATCACATACTACCATGTGTATTAATGTATTTTATTTTTTTGAGGTATTGGAGTGTTATATTGTTGTACATTAAAAGATTGATTTGCGTACCGCTAAGCCGTATAGTCATGACACTTGCTCTCTCTCCGGGTAGACATAGCAGTAAGGATACATATTATAAGAATTGGCAACAATATCGCTGTACAAAGTGCCCCCAAAAATATGGCCGCCCCCATTGGATAGTCAACAAAATGGCGCGGCTGGGCTATTTAATCCGGCAATGGAAGAGTGACTAACCTATCACAACCCCCTGATGAATGCCACGTGACCGGTGGCGTAACGCGTAGGGGGTGGGGCTGCGGTTGTCACTCGGAGGAGAGCTGGAGTATCGGACAGACGGCAGGTGCATGGCCGGACGGCTGGCGGATCATTAGAGCTGAGCAATTTTCATCCTATACCGCATATCACATATGTGAGTGTATCTGCTCGGGAAAGTAATAAAGGAGAAACCTTTTTATAAGGATAAAACACTATGTCTGGCAATTTGTTCCCACATATGGAAAAACGCACATGGGCTATTTGAGGATAACGCATATCCACGTTGCTCACCATTTAATAAAGGAGGAATTCCATCTAAGCAGGTTCCATAGGAGGTGAACCACAAGTGTGTATAGCCTAATTGCAGGCTAACAAGGAGGTGAGCATACATCTTTACCAATTGAGGATTCAAAGAAAGTCACAGATTCACAAAAAGTCACCAAATCAAGATTTATTCAAGCACAAGTCACTGAATTTATTAAAGGACATTTATATCACAATTATTTGGCAGTATATATACAATTTTTTTGAGTATTCACTATTTATGATGTATATTCTTTTTATTTCTATATTTTTAGTATACTATGCACTATCTATTGGTTTTGCGGTTAATATCATTTAATTTATATACTCCATAGTGGTTTATATATTTTTTCAAATCACTTACATAGTTTGATTTTGTTTATATTTTCATTTAATACCTGAAAATTATTTTCATATCAAAGTTAATTAGATATATACATCAAAGATAATGTCACTGGGGAGCGCAACATCATCTATATAATTTATGACTTTTTTTTAGGACCACCTAGGAGTGAGTTGTTGTTTGTGTGATTGCGATCCTATATATTTTCTGGACATGTGGAGTGTTCCCATTCGTCGTTGGTTTTGAGAAGGTTAATATTGGCGTGGATAACAGACTGGCTCGCAAGTCA